GCTAGAGGGCATCAAAGAACCGCCTTCAGCAGACATGAGGAAGGATGTTGCATGAATGGATTCTCTCCTTACTATATGGGAGGTGGAGCAGAGCCTTTCAACACCACGTGGACAGTTACCAAGGTTGGACAACACAGTGAGACTGCAGTTTAGAGGCCACGTTGTCCTCACCGTAGGACCCGATCAAGATTCATCTGGTGAAACTGGAGAAAAGATGGTTTACTCTATCATTCCTGAAAGAACAGGTGAGAGGCACACATGATGGGAAATGAGGAAACAGAGTCTCAGGGACTTCGCTTTCCTTTATCGCATATGGATGCATTGAAGCAAATTTGGAACAGTTCAGCCAGTTCTGTCAAGGGTAGCTTACTACAGATGAGGAAAAGCAAAAGCTCCTATTATCCTTCTGCACAGAATGTCAAATCCAGGCAGTCTCGTCCTTTCACTGCTTTTTAATATTAATATGTATATATAAAATAGTAGACACTTGATTCTGCCAAGATTTGTGTACTAAGAAGCCCCTGCTGCTTTGAGCCAAGGACACAATGAATGTAACTTTTCTAACCTGTGTATCTAATAAGATGAGATGTAGCTTTTACAGGTATCAGTTGGCCATATGTACTAACAGGTACATGAAAGAACAGCAAATTACTAAATGTCCCAGAAGGTGACAAAAACCATACTTCAACAAGTTTATTTAATCCAGTGTGGTAGAAAACACACAGCTCCAATAATTGTATTATTTAAATTAAATATATATATATATATTAAGCAGTACAAAGAAGGACATACAAATGCTATAGTGTGGGACTTCCCTGATGGTCCAGTGGTTAAGAATCTCAATTCAGGGGACTCGGGTTTGGTCCCTGATCAGGGAACTAAGATCCCACATGCTGTGGAACAACTAAGCCTGCACATCACAGCCGAAGAGTCTGTGCACTGCAAGGAAAGATCTCGTATGATGCAATGAAGATCCCACATGCCACAACTAAGATCCTACACAGCCAAAGGAATAAATAACTATTTTTAAAATAATAAAAATAAATGCAATTTCCAATATAAAATATTATATTAGGAGTATATATGTGCCGAATAGATACATCTAACCACCAAAACAAAAGAAAAATAAACATATATAATTGGTAAGAGATAAGAATCAGTCTCTTCTGTTCCATGAAAGATCAAGTAAAACCAAAAAAACGATAGGCAGAACTAAATAACATTATTAATGAGTTAACTTTCAACAACAGAACTGATTTGTTTGGGGTGGCAGTGTACCCAGCTGAAATATTACTTTCCCAGGCTTCCGTGCTCCAGACAGAGTCACATGACTAGGCTCTAACTAATGAGGAGAAAGAAATATCAGGTGGAACTTCTGGAAAATCCCCTTATAGAGAACTGGGCAGACCCTTCCTTTCTTTTCTTATCCAGAAAAGATGGATATAATGGCTTGAGCTTTAGAATCTTCTTGGACTACAAAGACAAGGGCATATGAACGATAAATATGAAAGATCTTGGGTTTCTAACAACTAGGTAAAATTACCAGTCTAGCCTTGGACTACATAACCTTAGATTTTTTTAAAAAAATCCTTGTGATATTATGCTATCATAGTTGGTTCTCTGTTCTATGTGCATGCCTGCGAGAGTGCTTGTTCAAGATCACCAGCCCAGGTTGGGTACATGAGACAAGTGCTCGGGCCTGGTGCACTGGGAAGACCCAGAGGGATCGGGTGGAGAGGGAGGTGGGAGGGGGGATTGGGATGGGGAATACATGTAAATCCATGGCTAATTCATTTCAATGTATAAAAAAACTACTGTAATGATGTAAAGTAATTAGCCTCCTACTAATAAATGGAAAAAAAATTAAAAAAAAAAAAGAGAGAGTGCTTGTTCAGTCACTAAGTTGTATCCAACTCTTTGTAACATCATGGTCTCCTCTGTCCATAGGATTTTCCAGGCAAAAAAACTGCTTGGGAAGGGTTGCCATTTCCTTCTCCAGGGGATCTTCCCAACCCAGGGAATCTAACCTGCATCTCCTGTGTCTCCTCCATTGGCAGGCAGGTTCTTTACCACTGAGCCACCTGGGAAGCCCTCTGTTCTATGTAGCTGCACTTAATCCTAATAGATATAAACTTGAAAGTGAAAAAAGGCTGAAAAACAGTCACCAAAATTGACCATATATTTTAGGACATGTTCAGTTGCTCAGTCATGTCCAACTCTTTGTGACCCTGTGGACTGCAGCAGGCTAGGCTCCCCTTTCCTTCACTATCTCCTGGAGTTTGCAAATTCACAAACCAAACTCAGAAAACATAGGATTAGCCTGAATCAAGAGGAGGGTCATTACACACTGGGTGTAGGAGACCAGGTGCCCACACAGGTAGATTACAGATGTCGGGCAGGTGCCCACACAGGTAGATTACAGATGTCGGCCAGAAAGGCAAAGGCTTTTCCTGCCTTCATTGCCTAGATTTTCTCTGTGAAAGAGCCAGAAGTGTTTAAAAGGCAGGGAAGGAAGAAGATAGAGGAGATTTGCATGTTTACTATGCCACTAGGGGATGAGAGAGGGAGCTGAGCAGGAAAGATTATTTTTGTTTTCTGTTATTGTACTTCAGGTCCAAGAACCAAATTTTCATTTTCAACCAGTCCTGCTATATATAAAGGAAAAAATAAAGTGGTTAGATTCAGATGCTCATTAAGTTGGAAAAGTGATCCAGGAATTAAGCAAGCAAAACACCCCCTTGAGTCACTTAGAGCGTGTGGCCCTGGCACAAGCAGCAGATTTGTATACCTGATCCCTGAATATCAAGAACTAGTACCTCTAATTTTAGGAAGAAAGCCAAAGCAAATTCACAAATAAAGATTGAAATAAACTCAACATTGAATGCAACAATTTAATCAAAATTCCCTAGTTTATACCTCTTCTGACTTACAAATTAGTAAATTAATATGAATGTTAAATGAAATATTTTTGCTACTTTAATAGAAAAAAAAAGTTACAAGTGTAGCTAACAAGAAAAGAACATCAACTCTCCTAAAGATATTTTGTGAGGTTCAAGAGAGAGTCACCCCCTTGGTGGTAGATACATGGAAACAGCAACAAAAACAGGAAAAAGAAATGAACAGTTTTTGTCTCTGACAGCCTATGTAATGGAAGGCCGAAAGCCTTGGCCAAACCTAATGACCCAATATATGTGTTTCATTTCCAACTTAATAAAATAATAGAAGTTTGTCTTCAAAAGGGTAATCTAGGATCAAAATTTAAGATTTTAATACAATATTCCATATAATATAGAAATCCTGTCTATAGAATTCTTATGGTATGTTATAGTATATGCCCTTGCTAAATCACTATAGTAATAAAAAGCTTAGTCTCTGTACACCATGGGCTGTGAGCTTAAATTTGAAATGCTTTGTGTCCTTCAACCAGTAAATCTGATTTTGCAATATAATGCCAAAAAGAAAAACCCTATGCCTGACTTCAAATATATCTCTCTGACTTGCTCTTCTCTGTGATAAATACATGCTTTCGTCCCATTGACTTGATTTCTAGAACCCTTACATGCTGGCCTTCTAGGTTTTTCAGATAGACTTTGATTTGTCTGCATCTATTTTTATTGCAGTGTCAAAATAAAACTGACTATCCCAGATACAGCCTTGCCAGCAAAATAAAGGCACATCTATCAATGCTCATGATTTTAGTGTCTGTGTCACACTTCAGCTCATGCATTTTAGTCCCAATTGTTCCTGAATGCCTCTACATGGTATGGTGACCAGTCAGCAAAGTGTTGGGGTAAAATGAATAGATTTAAGAGCCAGCATCTATTTCTGAAAGTGTATTCCTGAGCTCAGCTTACTTTGTTCCACAAACTTCCACCATAAGCCTAATGATAAATAAAAGACAATAGAAGAATACCTTCATGATAACTCTAGTAGAGATAATAAAACATCAACTATTTGACCAGTTTTGATGTTCAGAGCAGACTCCTGTTGGTGACCTAGCATCACACAGCAAGGGAGCTCAAATCAGGTCTGCACACAGCATCCTGAATTGGGAGTGGACAGGCAAAGGCAGTTGTGGGTTTCCCTCTGCACTGGCCTATGTGGCCATACACTAAAACAAGAAAGGGTGTTCTCAGTGGTAAAACTATTGAGAAGTTTTCCTGGGGAATGTTTAGGCAAAGGAAGTAGAGGTTAAACTTTATTTTGGCAGTGGCAACTTCTGCAGCAATAGTAGGATCTTCTGAGCAAATAGAAGCACACCACTTAGAGAAACGTCATGGGGACCTCTGGACAGATGTTTAACATGGATCACTGTTTGGTATCTGTTTATATAGTTGGTGGGGCTTCCCTGCTGGCTCAGTGGTAAAGAATCTGCCTGCAATGCAGGAGCCTCAGAAGACACAGGTTCGATCCCTGGGTTGGGAAGATCCCCTGGAGGAGGGCATGGCAACCCACACCAGTATTGTTGCCTGGAGAATCCTATNGCCTGCAATGCAGGAGCCTCAGAAGACACAGGTTCGATCCCTGGGTTGGGAAGATCCCCTGGAGGAGGGCATGGCAACCCACACCAGTATTGTTGCCTGGAGAATCCTATGGACAGAGGAGCCTGACAGAACACAGTCCATAGGGTCGCAAAGAGTCAGACATGTCTGAAGCGACTTAGCTTGCATGCTAAGTTGTGGTATTTACCGCAACATAAGTATTTCACGTTATTTTTTCATTCTCTTCACATTAGTTAGGATAGCATATGTATCCATATGAATACCTGATACAGATGCCACTCAAAGCATTTTTACTATTAACACAGAAATAAAGAAACATTATATATAAATATATCATTTCAGCTATTAGGTAAGTGGCTACACTTGCATTATATGAGAATTTATATGAAATAAACAGTATGTGGGGGGAAAGATATTTTATGAGAAAACAATTCTTCACCAATTTATTGCTGTTTGTGATTAAAATTTAGCTTTGTCATTTTTATTTTTATATTTCAGGGATTTTGAAGGCAACCATATCCATAATTTAAGAAATTTGACTTTTATTTCCTGCAGTAATTTAACTGTTTTGTAAGTAATGTTTTGTCCTTTTGAAGTAATGTTTTATCTCTTTACAAACAAAATGAATCATTTATGTGAACAGAATCTGGCATACACATGCACAGTAATTATAGCAAATGTTCCCTCTCAGTTTGAAGTTTTTTGAAATGGAAGCACAATGGCAAAATTACTGAAGTTCAAAGCAGGTGTAACCACAGATTCACAATGTATCAGTACATGAATCATCACAGTGGTACTATCTTATACGAGACCTACTTTTCTCAAACTTAAGTAATACCCAATTTAGTGGAAAAAAATTCTCATAAACCACCTAAAATCTGTCCTTGGATGGCAGTTTGAGAAATACCAAGATCAAGTCCTACTCTGTGAGAATTATTACTGCAAAGGTTGTGGGGAAAAGTTAATTATAATTTTTTTTCAAAAGTTGCAGAATGTTCACATCTGTGAGAATATGATTGTGACACCCACCAGGATAAACCTTAGAATGTTATCAAATATAATTTCTCCTATGCCACTGTCTTATTTTAAATCCATGTTGCTAGCTCATAACACCAGATCAGTGCAGAAATGAACTGTCAGGCCTTACAGTCTGATTCATCATCACAAATCAGAGATCTTCTGAGTTGGTCCAGCTTAGAGTAGGCATCTTCCAGCACCTCCACTTTAAATCACAGCAACTACCCAGTGTGCACGAGTGCTATTGTGGTGTTGGGTGCAGGGGTATATTTTGTTAGACAGACATACCACGAAGACTGCACAGGCCACTTTAAGACAGTTGTGCTGATACTTAGACTGTATTCTCAGTGGTCGAGATTTTTCACTCTTATCCCTGTGGAGCTCTTCCCTAAAACACTTTAAAATGTGAACACTATTTTACTTTTATCACCATTAAAAGATTTGGGATATTTAAGATTAAAATGAGCTTGGATAATTTATCATACTATTTCAATGTATCTTGATATGGAAATGCATTATACATAATTATCTTTGTTTTTGCAGGTTGTTAATCTTCTCTCCAATAACTCACTGTAAGTTACCTCCAGAAGCTACAACATCTTTTTTCTGTTTACTTTCAGGGTAATGAGGAAAAACAAAATTAATCACCTTAGTGAAAATACGTTTGCACCTCTTCAGAAACTAGATGAATTGTAAGTTTGATTACACATATATTTTGTAAGTTTGATTACACATATAGCACTATTTCTGTATACCCCAAGCCACAGGTATTTCAGGAATTCTGAAAGCTTAACAAATATGTGTTAAAGGAAACTATAAAATAAATATTTGAGGAAAGTAAAGTAAAAGAAACAGCTGTGGAGGCAAATAAAGCAAGGGGAAATTAATAAATAAATTATATCCTACATCACTTTAACCCACTGCTAGAGATGAATAGCAAATTTATCTTAAAGTTTTTGGAGAGTGAGGATTCAGAGATCAGGAGATAAAAAGATATCACTTTGCTGGTTCTGAAACCACAGGATAATCTTGGATCTATAAAATTAGACACTGCCATGGATAACAACGTCCAAACCTGTAATAATGGTCAAGAGAGCAGCTTGAGACAGCTATTTATAACATCCCTTTTTAAGATCAATGACACAGTTCCAAAGGACAGTAAAGCAAGTCTCTGATGAATCAAAGCCTTGTGGTCAAACCACATAGTAGTTGATTCTCCAAATAAAATATACTTAAGACAGTGGAGGAAGCACATGCTCTTCAGACAGTTTTTTTTTTTTTTTTTATGGCTTAATTTCTTCAATTGGGGTTTTGTTAAAGTCTGGGCTAGCCACTAGTTTGACTTTTGGTTTTCTGAAAAGAATCTGGAGAGTGAACAGAACTACATGTTTTGACAATTAGCTGGGCAGAACTTGGATTCATTAAAACTTTTCCATAAAAAAGAATGTAACTAAAATGTTGCTCAGGACACCTTACCTGCATACCTAGACAAGTGGAGGAAACATACATGCCACAGGCAAAAACATCCCTCAGAAAACAATCCAGCATTCTGCTCCAAAACTTCAGTAAACAAGCAATTGAAGCCCCAACATTTTTTCCATAACCATGGGCTTGAAACATTTTTTGGTAGACAGTACCAACCATTCACAAAACACACAAGAAAATCTCATTAGGTATCAGAACCAAACATCTGCTGTAATGACTCCTGGTGTCTGACAAATGAATATACCATCAGCACGTGGAAAATTGTTTTATTCTCAGCAGTGGGGAGCAGTGCATGCAGGTGACTCAAAGGCATTATCTAGCCATTGAAATACAAGTTAGTCAAGGGGTCCATAATTTTCCTTGCTTTATCATACTTGCAACTCCAATCTGAATACCAAAAGGCAGTTTCTCCAAATTCTAACTTGCATGGTGGCCCTAAGTTATGGGTGCAAGAAAGAATTAAGTCAGGAGAAATTAACAAATAAAATACATCCTACACTGCTCTAACCTACTGCTAGAGAAGGACAGCAAATTTATCTTTAAGAAACCAGTGGTGAGCATGGGGCGGGACAGCTGAGTCCTCAGTCAGTGCTAATCCAGGTTCAGAGGTAAAAGAAAGAGCTACAAAGGGGCAGAGAGGATCCCCACACCAAAAATTAGTCCTACCTAAATCCTGTCAAATCCCATGCCTGAAAAATCAGATTTACAAGGATGAAAATGGCATGTTTTCTAAGAGATAACGGTTTTAAATGGATGAACATGGAAGTGTTAGTTGCTCAAACTTTTCTGACTCTTTCTGACCCCATGGACTGTAGCCCATCAGGCTCCTCTATCCATGGAATTCTCCAGGCAAGAATCCTGGAGTGGGTTGCTGTTCCCATCTCCAGGGAATCTTCCCAACAGAGGGATCAAACCCATGTCTCCTGCATTGCAGGCAGATTCTTTACCATCTGAGTCACCAGGAAGTTCCCTTAAATGAATGGGTCTAGACCTAAAATGAGTGACTCTCCTTTTGAAAGAAGGTTGGACTTCGCTCTGTGCCCCTTCTAGCTTGATCCCACTGACAGAATTAATGAGGGCAAAATTAGCAACTGTAAGATTCACTTCCCGTCTTAAGACGTGAATCTTCCTGTCTTAAGACGCGTTCTTAACCACTGAAACACCAAGAAAGCCCTAATCTGTGCTTTTAAAGCAACTACTCAAGGTGACAATGTGTTTGCTGAGCCCATTCAGAAATAGACTGCAAGTCCAGTTAAGTTTAGACGAACTTTCCTAAACAAAACTGAGAAAATGGTCTTTGTTCTTGTCACTTAGGATCTAAACCAAATGGTCCCCATTATGTGATTGATGATGAAAGAAATATTTGTCAGAATTTGCTTTAGTAGCCAAAGTCAGCACTCTCACCAGAAATGGCTGAACATGGTAATTCGAGATTTAATATTCTAGTGGACTCTTCTAAATCTGTTTTTCACATTGCCTCACTAGCATGATCGATATTTTACTTGGCTTCCCATACAAGGAACTGGAATCATCCTGCCCCTTTTACTTAAATATGAAAACAGATCTTCAGTCTATTAATAGTCTGCAAGTAGGGATGGAAAGAGTAGCTAGTCCAAAACTAAGCTATATGCTGGGAAACCCAGATCTTCCCTGAAAGAGCTCACACCCTTCAGAAGAGAATGTAGGGACAGGAAAAGTTTTAAAATGATGCTGTAAGTGCTGTCTGTGAGAACGCCTAACTCTCCCAGTCGTGAAGGAAAGACATGTGAAAAGAATCTTTTTTAAAAGTATAGTTGGGCTTCCCAGGTGGTCCAGTGGTTAAGAATCCACCTGCCTATGCAGAGGATACAGGTTCAATCCCTGGTCCAGGAAGATCCCACATGCCGAGGAGAAACTTAAGCCCATTGTCCACAACTAGTGAACCAGTGCCCCAGAGCCCATGAGCCACAACTGCTGAAGCTGGCACACCTAGAGCTCATGCTCTGCGGCAAGAGAAGCCACTGCAATGAGGAGCCTGAGCATTTCAACTAGAGAGTAGCCCCCACCATCATCACAGCTAGAGAAAGCCTGTGCGCAGCAACCAAGACCCAGCACAGCCCAAAAAAAGTCTGGTTGATTTACAACACTGTGTTAGATTCAAGCGTACAGCAAAATGATTCGGCTTTGCATATCCATTCTTTTTCAGGTTCTCTCCCATTATAGGTTATTACAAGATATTGAGTATAGTTCCCTCTGCTACACAGTAATTCCTTGATTCTTTTCCTGAGCGGGATCTTAAAGGTGTTCACCTGAAGGACCAGAAGTAAAGCTTTTTCCAGGTAGAAGGAAGCAAGCACCCATGCAAAAACCTGGAGGTTAGAATACTGAGGTGCATTCAGATCCTGGTGAAAGCCAATTTAACTGAGCAGAAAGTGGTAGGAAACTAAGCTGGACTGTACAAAATATTTAAAGACTGTTTTCTATCACACTAAGAGGTTTTGATTTTATCTATTATGGAGCAGTGAGCGATTGAAGAATTTTTAAAAGGGGATGAAATTTTTGAAAGATTCTTTTGGTTATCAAATCAGAGACTCTATCCACATAGACAATTCACCCATAAATATGTAAATAACAAAAACAGTCTCGGCATTTACAGCAAAGACATTAGTCATTTTGATTATATTACTTGTTTTTAGTTTTAAAACTCAATCTAAAACTGCCTTGCCCTTTCAAATTCAGTAATCTAACTTTTGATTTATAAGCATTCCAATTTAGGTAGCAACTAGATCTACATCCTTACCTCTCCCTGTGGCAACTAACATGACTTGAGGATAGATAGGGAAGATGGTTAGACTTTCTCTTAGTTTCTCATGATAACATTGGAGAAATCAAGCCTATCTTGCTTAGAAGAATTCTAGGCCTTTCTCATGAGAGTTGCCACTGTCAAAGCTGCCATAAGAGCTGGTACTGTCCAAAGTCTTCCCACAGCTAAGCTATAGTCACACCACAGTGGGCAGCCCAACCTCTATACACATATGAAGTATCCTGCTCCAGGAGTGTATAAGACCTGGTGTATATCAGCTATGGAAGAAACTGGAATCTGAAATAATACACTTCCAGTTAAAAACCATAATCAACTGAAACAAAAGAAAAAATTAAGTCTCCAAACCATATTTCTACTTTAGCATAGAAGAAAGGAAAGAAGAATGGATGGGAGGGAAAGAGGGAGGTGGCAGAGGGGAAAAAGAGAAAAGAAGATGGCACAGTATTAATTAAATTAGAAAACTGGATCTATTAGAACCAGATCAGATACCATCAAGCATTGTCTCTGAATGAGGAATAAAATTAGGAAATATTTTTCTTTTACCATTTCATTCCCTTTTTAAAGTTTTGACTTTTATCAATTTCCTGGCGGCTCAGTCAGTAAAGAATCAGCCTGCAGTGCAGGAGGCCTGGGTTCCATCCCTCGGTCGGGAAGATCCCCTGGAGAAGGAAATGGCAACCTACTTCGGCACTCTTGCCTGGAAAATCCCATGGACAGAGGAGCTTGGTGGGCTACAGCCCACGGCATTGCAAGAGTCAGACACAATTTAGCAACTAAACCACCACCACCAATTAATACAACTCACTAATAGCATTATTTGAAAGTTGTATAATGGTTTTTTAATAAACCACAGAACTACGGATAAAGTCTTAAGAAAATAACATGACATGGTTGCAATTACTTCCCTAGGGATTTAGGAAGCAATAAGATTGAAAATCTTTCTCCACATATCTTTAAGGATCTGAAGGAGCTCTCACAACTGTAAGATTGATATGAATTTTTATTTTTATTTTTAATTTGTTTTATTTTCTAAAATTGCCATTAAAATACACATCAGTATGTGTGTTTACCATTTCAACCATTTTTAAGTGTACAGTTCAGTGGTATCAAGTTCATTCACACTGTTGTGTAACCATCACCACCATCCATTTCTGGAACTTTTCCTGCTTTCCAAACTGAAGCTCCATACCTATTAAACACTAACTCCCCATCGACACCCTTCCCCAACCGGCTTCTATCACTGTTTGGTCTCTATGAATTTGGCATCTCTAGGTACCTCATATAGGTAGAATCATACATACCTTGTTCTTTTACAGCTGGCTTATTTCACTTAGCCTAATATCTTCAAGTTTTATCCGTGCTGTAGCATATGTCAGAATTTCTGAATATTATCACCCATATTAGCAATCCATTGTGTGTAAGTACCACATTGTATTTATCCATTTTTCCATTGATGGACACTTGGGTTGTTTCCACCTTTTAGCTGTTATGAGTAGGGCTGCTACAAACATGGGTGTGTAAATATCAGTTAAAGAACTTGCTTTCAATTCTTTGGGGGTATATAGCCCCAGAAATAGTATTACTGGTAACTCTGTTTTTAATTTTTTGAGGAAACCTCATACTCTTTTCTATAGTGACTGCAACTATTTTACATTCTCACTAACAGTGCACAAAGATTCTAATTTCTCCACATTTTCAACAGCACTTGTAATTTTGTATTTTTTTAATAATAGCCAACCTAATGGATGTGACATGGTATTTCATTGTGGTTTTGATTTGCATTTCTCTAATGATTAATGATGTTGGGCATCTTTTCATGTGCTTATCGATCATTTGCACATCTTCTTTGGAAAATGTCTACTCAGGTCCTTTACTCATTTTTAAATTGGGTTGTTTGGTTTTTCATTGTTAAGCTGTGCATGCATGCTGAGTCACTTCAGTTGTGTCCTACTCTTTGTGACCTTATGGACTGCAGTGCACCAGGCCTGTCTGTCCATAGGATTCTCTAGGCAAGAATACTGGAGTGGGTTGCCATGCCCTCCAGGGATCTTCCTGACCCAGAGTTCAAACCTGCGTCTCTTATGTCTCCTGCATTGGCAGGTGGGTTCTTTACCACTGGGAACCCCTGTTAAGTTGTAGGATCATATATATTTTAGATAGTAAATAATTTCAGATATATGATTTACAAATACATGCTCCTATTCTGTAGGTTGCCTTTTCACTCTGTTGATAGTGTTTTCTGATGCACAAAAGTTTTAGATTTAGATGTACTCCAATTCTTATTTTTTTTTTCTATTGTTACCTATGCTTTTGGTATCACGGTATACAAGAAATCACTGCCTAATCCAATGTCATGAAGTTTTTCTCTTATGATTTCTTCTAAGAGTTTTATAGTTTAGCTTTTATATTTAGGAATTAGATCCATTTTGAGTTAATTTTGTACATTGTGGAAGCTAAGGGTTTAAGCTCTTTCTTTTTTTTGCATGTGGGCATCTATCTGGTTTTCCCAGAACCATTTGTTAAGAAGATTGTCCTCTCCCCATTGAACGGTCTTGGCATGTGTTAAAAATTATGTGACCATCCATACAAAAGTTTGTTCCTGGGCTCTCCATTCTATTCCATCATCCTATACAACTGTCTTTACTCCAGTACCACACTATTACTGATTACTGGAGCTTTGTAGTAAGTTTTGAGTCAGAAAGTAAGACCTCCAATTTTGTCCTTCTTTTTCAAGGCTTATTCAGATTCCCTTGAGATTCCAAACAAATTTTAAGATGGATTTTTCTATTTGTTCAGAAAAACCATCACTGGGATCTTGATAGATATTATACTGAATCTTTTGATTGCTTTGGGTAGTATTGTCATCTTAATGATTTTAAATCTTCTAGTCCCAAAGCACAGAATGTCTTTCTGTTTATTGGTGTCTAATCTCTTTCAACAATATTTTATTTTCATGGTGCAAGCCCTTCACCTTTATTCAGTTTATTGGGATTTTTTTGGCTGCACTGGATCTTCATTGCTACCCAAGCTTTCTCTGATTATGGCAAGTGGAGGCCACTCTTCATTGCAGTATGGAGGGTTCTTATTTTGGTAGCTTCTCTTGTGGCTCGGTAGTTGTGGTGGGTGGGCTTAGTTGTTCTGTGGCATGTGGGATCACCCTGAATCAGGAATCAAATCCATGTTCCCTACATTAGCAAGCAGATTCCCAACCTCTGGACTACCAGGGAAACCTCTCTTCAGTTTATTCCTATGTATTCTTCTGATGCTATTGTAAATTGAATTATTTTCTTAATTCTCTTTCTAGATTGCTCAGGGCTGATGTATAGAAATGCGTTTGATTATTCATCATTGTCTGATTATTGTGCATTTGTTCGGTATTTGATTTGAATTTGTTTATTAGTTCTGACAGTTGTGTGTGTGTGTGTGTGAAATCTTTAAGGTTTTATACACACAAAATGGGCTTCCCTGCAAAAAAAAAAAAAAAAAAGGGCTTCCCTGGTGGCTCAGATGATAAAGAATCTGCCTGCAATGCAGAAAACCGAAGTTTTACCCCGGGTCAAAAAGATCCCCTGGAGAAGGAAGTGGCTACCCACTCCAGTATTCTTGCCTGAAGAATTCCATGGACAGAGGAGCCTGGTGGGCTACAGTCCATGGGATCACAAAGGGTCTGACACGACTGAGTGACTAACAGTTTCACTTTTCACACATGAAATAATGTCATCTATAAACAGAGATAATTTTACTTTTCACTTCCCAATTTGGATGCCTTTTATTTTATTTTATTTTATTTCTTGCCTAATCCCTCTGGATAGGTCTTCTAGCACTATCTTCATCTCTTTTTCCTAGCCGTAAAGCCATTTACTTTTCATTTCATGCCTCATAACTTGCTAACACAATATGCCACTATTCGATATGATTTATTGTAAAACGTATTCAATGTGGTTTCATTCATTCAAATTTTGATTCATTCAAATTTTTCTTTTATTTAAATCACACCTGATGATAGGCAAAACCTGAAGTGGTGTGGCTTCCCTTTGGGAAACCTGCAGATTCCCTGGTGGGACCATCCAGGACCACTCCGCCTTCATGATCATGTGGTCTCAGCTCTCTCTCTGTCACTAAGACATTTAGAGCCTCACATGGTTCTAAGAGTTCTATCTCCATTAATCCATTTGAATGTCTAAGGAGCCCTATGGTACAAGTGCCATTGATGTACTTTTTTGCTAACGTTTACAAGCAATCCTCCGTCAACAGTATACTTCCTCTTTACTCAAATCCTTTCTAAAATTGACCAATTGCTGCTCTTTTTTTTTTTTATTGAAACAGGAATCTTTCCTATAACCCAATCCAGAGAATTCAAGCCAACCAATTTGATAATCTTGTCAAACTCAAATCTCTGTAAGTATACACCTATGGGGATAGTTTTATGATACATTTTTTATTTATATACTAATAGCTAATACATTCTATAAAATAAGATTAATAGAGTCTTGAATTACAGTCCATGGGATCACAAAGAGTCTGACACGACTGAGTGACTAAGTTTCACTTTTCACACATGAAATAATGTCATCTATAAACAGAGATAATTTTACTTTTCACTTCCCAATTTGGATGCCTTTTATTTTATTTTATTTCTTGCCTAATCCCTCTGAATAGGTCTTCTAGCATTATCTCATCTCTTTTTCCTAGCCGTAAAGTCATTTACTTTTCACTTCATGCCTTATAACTTGCTAACACAATATGCCACTATTCAATATGATTTATTGTAAAACGTATTCAATGTGGTTTCATTCATTCAAATTTTGACAAAATGAGATTCTTTTTCTTTTATTAAATCACACCTGATGATAGGCAAAACCTGAAGTGGTGTGGCTTCCCTTTCGGAAACCTGCACGTTCCCTGGTGGGACCATCCAGGACCACCCCACCTTCATGATTATGTGGTCTCAGCTCTCTCTCTGTCACTAAGACACTTAGAGCCTCGCATGGTTCTAAGAGTTCTATCTCCATTAATCCATTTGAATGTCTAAGGAGCCCTATGGTACAAGTGCCACTGATGTACATTTTTGCTAACATTTACAAGCAATCCTTTGTCAATAGATATACTTCCTCTTTACTCAAATCCTTTCTAAAAATGACCAATTGCTGCTCTTTTTTTTTTTTTATTGAAACAGGAATCTTTCCTATAACCCAATCCAGACAATTCAAGCCAACCAATTTGATAATCTTGTCAAACTCAAATCTCTGTAAGTATACACCTATGGGGATAGTTTTATGATACATTTTTTATTTATATACTAATAGCTAATACATTCTATAAAATAAGATTAATAGAGTCTTGAACCAGAAGCTTTATTCCCAGGATGTTAGTTAAACTCTACAGAAACCATATGAGTACTTGCTGAGCTATAAACAAACAGATGGCTGTTAGTTTAATCTTTCATATTTATGAGCTAAAAATTAGATAATTCTATAATCACCAGGAGCTTATATTGGATTGTTTGTTTTGATACTCTGAGGGCATCTATGCATATTTATTCCTTCATTAGCACTGGGGGTGTCTAAGAGTTTATTATAACTATGGTTATCCCAAGATAGAATGTTCTGGATTATATAAGTCTTTACTTGCAGCACACATGCACAAACGCACATACATAAATTATATTAGGATCTATGAATCGCCTTAAGAAGGCGTGCTTCAGTTCTTTTAAGTATTCCCTCGGTAAACTGTCATTTTATTAGGAAAAAAATTATTTAAAAATTATTAGAAAAATTTCAAGAATGTAAAATGCTCCTCTCTGCTATTGCAATATCATCAAAAGGCAATGTTTATTCATTTATTTCACAAATATTTGTTGAATAGTTACTATGAAAAAAGCATCATGCCACAATCTATTAGAAGCCAAAAATTGAAATAGGAAAGATATAGAATCAATATAAGTATTTATATTGTGTATAAATAGCAGAATCAAAAAGGCATTGGGGGAAAAAGGGGTTATTATGAGATCACATGAAATCATGTGTGTGAAACTTTGGAAATACTATAGAATTTTAAAAATCTTTCATGTAATGAAAGGAACTGGGAAAGTGTCTAGGGAAGGCTAAGTATGAATGTTCAGTTCAGAATAAGTGTTAAATAATTGTGTATTAAACTGTCCTTCACAAAAATTCATTATACCCTGCATAACATATGTTTTTTGATAATTTGATATTTTAGCAGCCTAGATGGAATTGAAATTTCAAATATCCAACAAAGGATGTTTAGACCTCTCATGAATCTCTCTTACATGTAAGCAGATGTTTTTCTTGTTCTTCACCTTGATTTTAATTGTTTAGGTTTCCACCTGTATTGTGCTAATACCCCCATATGCAGTGCATCCAATTTATTAACATTTCCTACTGACTAATTTGCCTAAACAATAACTAACTTTTAAAGCATAGAGATAGGGTGAGGTAATTTTTAGTTGTCCATGATTTGGTCTGAGAGAATGAAAGGAGATTGGTTTGGGTGTCAGACAACAGGAGTGTGGAGGGAACCCACTCAGGCTTATATGCTGTAATGCCCTCTCGTGACACTCACATATATTCATGTTTGTCCACTGAGCTAGCAACTAGTGCACCTGGCACAAATGCAACCAGATGAAGAAGTAGGAAGTCACATGAACAACATAGAACAATTATAAATAATTCATGTAAATGGAGGAAGGAAGAGAGAAAGTCTCCTCAGTGAAAATTGCCCACAGTGTCAGGGCATGATGGAGCAAGGGTGTATGGATAAAATGGCAAGCTTTGAAAAATCTTGTATTCAAACATCATGTCTCATCATGCCATCATTACATGCTTTAGAAGCATTTTCTTTAGTTGAATGTAATATATAGCAGTATATATATATATATACATATATATATATATATATATACACATACACACACACACACACAATATTAGAGTGATCCCCATGCCAAGTAATTAATTCTCAATAATTTAGAAAGTGTCATGGCAGCCACCACCACTCTATAATCTTGCTTGTATTTTAAATCTAACAGAGGACACTGATTTTTTTTCCCACAATTCCTTGGACAGCAAAGTTTCCTTGGTTATGCACAATATAAAGCACTCTGAATAAATTGAGCAAACAGAGTTTATTGAAAGAAAATGATGTAACTCATAAAACCCAAGAAACAACTCAAGGACTTGACTTGAATAGAGCAGATCCTGGGATCCAGACAGCATATATTGTTTTCTTTTTACAGAGGAAATGGAGAAAATAGATATTAAGGTAGAGTGACACTTCAGTTTAAAGTCTTATTTTCCCTTGTCTTTGCACAACAGCTATTTTAAGAGATTTCAGTACTGTGGCTATGCACCGCATGTTCGCATCTGTAAACCAAATACGGACGGACTCTCATCTTTGGAGGATCTCTTGGCGAGCATTATCCAGAGAGTGTTCGTCTGGGTTGTGTCTGCAGTCACGTGCTTCGGAAACATCTTTGTCATCTGTATGCGACCTTGTATCAGATCTGAGAACAAGCTGCATGCCATGTCAATCATTTCTCTCTGCTGTGAGTATTTCCTGGCTGAAGAGGAATTACAAGTTTTGAAATATATTAAAGTGTTACTGTTAGAAAATAAGTAACCAGAGTACTAGAATCATGGGATGTTAAAAATTCCTCCCCTTTGCTTAGATGTTTTCTAAGCATTCAATGAAGTGCTACAGGAAAATAAAGTGATAAAGTTTTTAAAGTAAGAAAACTCAGTCACCTTACACAGATTAATGAAGCACTCATTCATTAATTTTGTCTGATAAGGAAGATTTTGTTTATTCGCTTTCTTCTCTAAAGGTATAATGTTTTGTGAGTTAGTCGCTCAGTTGTGTGTGTGACTCTTTGTGACCCCATGGACTGTAGCCGCCAGTCTCCTCTGTCCTTAGGATTCTCCAGGCAAGAATACTGGAGTGGGTTGCCGTTTCCTTCTCCGGGGGATCTTCCTGACCCAGCAATAGAACCCGGGTCCCCTGAATTATAGGTAGATTCTCTACCAGCTGAGCCACCAGGGAAGCCGGTGTAGTATTTTATGAAAACATGTAAAATTTTTTTACTGTGAATAACCTTGAAACCTTTCATCATCACATTTTCATGCCCAGAGTTCTGTTTATTTTTTGTGTGCGCATCCAGTTCATAGACACTGAATTCAGACATTACTGTTCTTCTGGTCTCTGAGCTTCTAACATCTTTTCCATTCATAATTTGAAATATTTAACTAAGAAAGTGTTTTAAGTAGTATTAAATTTTTAAAGTTGTTGAAACATGATTGCAAGTTAGTATGTTTAATGAAAAATATTAAAAAAAAAAAAAAGAAATAAAAGCAAGAAACTAGTTTTCCAGTTGCTTATAATCTGGGTCAAGTGGCCTATAATTCACCCATACTCCCTCAAGCAAACATACATCTACATGGTGTTCTATTTTTTATGAGTGCTATGCTATGTCTTACCCCTACACTCATTCGAAGTCTAAGGCTGAACTGTTTTTTCATTGCAAATTGCCTAAGAAACAGAACTTAGAAATTGTTAACTACTTGGGAAACTTCCCTGGTGGCTCAGATGGTAAAGCGTCTACCCGGAATGCAGGAGACCTGGGTTCAATCCCTGGGTCAGGAAGATCCCCTGGAGAAGGAAGTGGCAACTCACTCTAGTACTCTTGCCTGGAAAATCCCATGAATGGAGGAGCCTGGTAGGCTACAGTCCATGCGGTCGCAAAGAGTCGGACACGACTGAGCGACTTCACTTTTTTCACTTTTTTTTCATGTTGTTAGCTACAAAATTTGAGTTCACTCAATTTTCCTGGTAAAGGCTAGAATATAACCTCAGTGTTTAAAGATTAAGGCTAGCCTTGTGATTTATACCGTGATGTGACTTTAGGATCATTGGGTAGAATGCTTGCATGGTCAAAAAAATTTAAAAAAAAACACCCTCTTTTTATGATATGCAATATTTACTTAAAAAAGAAAATACACCAAGAAATATATCACATGAACAGCTGATTTGGAGGAGTCTGAAAAGAGACAGAGAAAGATGTTAACACAAGAAGAAAGAATCAGAACAGTTTTGCTTAGACCACCTCTGGATAAGGCATTTAAGCCCCTTAAAATTATACTAACTACAGAGCACTTCATAATTATTCCTATCTTCTAAATTATAGACCTCAAAATTCATAGTCATTACTCTATCATAGCAGGTTCTGAAATACTTTCTCTGGGATTTTGAATGACTTAACTTCTTAAACTGGGAGAATTTCAGTGGAAGAAATGAACCAAATTATAATACCCCTGTCTTGTCTGTAATTGAATGCAAAACATAGTTGCATTTTACTCATTCAGCATTTCTAGGTGATGGGACTAGGAAGGAAAACAAAACAGACAAGACCCCTGCTCTTATAGACCTGTGTGTTAGATAAAAGCAGAGACATGCTTACATATTTAGCTGCAGAGGATGCTGTAAGCATGGTTATCAGAGAGAGATGATGAAGTGGTCCTCACCCATAGATGAATTCTTAGAATACATCTTACATCCCCCAAGACAAACAGTTGTCTATTTGGGGCTAATGTTAAAAATATTACTGTTTAATGATAATTCCATTTCATCTATTTATTTCTCTACATTTGTTGAATTTACTGATTCCTGCAGGTGCTGACTGCTTGATGGGAATCTATTTATTTGTGATTGGAGCCTTTGACCTGAAGTTTCGAGGAGAATACAATAAACATGCGCAGCTGTGGATGGAGAGCATTCATTGTCAGCTTCTGGGGTCCCTGGCCATTCTGTCCACAGAAGTATCAGTATTACTTTTAACATTTCTGACACTGGAAAAATATATCTGCATTGTGTATCCTTTTAGATGTTTAAGACCTGGAAAATGTAGAACCATTACAGTTTTGATTCTCATTTGGATTATTGGGGTTATCGTGGCTTTCATTCCACTGAGCAATAAGGAATTTTTCAAAAACTACTATGGCACCAATGGAGTATGTTTCCCTCTTCATTCAGAAGATGCAGAAAGTACTGGAGCCCAGATTTATTCAGTGGCAATTTTTCTTGGTAAGAAATTCTGTATTAAAAGCCTTATCAAGGACTTGGCAGTCCAGTGGTTAAGATTTCCCTCTCCAATATAGAGGGTGCAGCTTCAATCCCTGATCAGAAGGACTTCCCTGCTGGTCCAGTGGTTAAGAATCTGCTTTGCAATTCAGGAGATGTGGGTTTGATCCTTGGTCAGGGAACTAAGATCTCACATGTTGTGTGATGAAAAAAAAAAAAAAAAAAAAAAAGAATAACAAAAACAAAATCAATCCCTGATCAGGGAGCTAAGATCCCATATGTCTTTCAGCGAAAAAAAACAGAAAAAAATATTGTAGCAGATTCAAGACTTAAAATAAATATTTTTTAAAAGCCCCTTTATTTAAATGTTAAAATAAGTCACAATGTGAATCTCATTATGCCTTTTAATGTTTACATTTTAATTTCGGATCTTCTAACCAGAATGGACACTGAGGGTAGATTTTATCAAAACTCCTTAAAGGGAATTTTTTTCTAAATTACCACTTTGTCATATTAATTCACATATGATACACTTTAATAAAAGACATTAAACACTTGCATTTCATGCATTCACCCTAATAATACTAAGCAAAATATGTTTCAACTGTTTGTGTTTGTAATATGAATAGATTCATAGTAGCAACACAGGTCTGTGCCTTGGGAGTAGACAAGTGTTTCCTTTTGAAAAAATATTCTCAAAGTATAATTTAAAGTAACTGAATTACAAAAAAAATAGATTAATAAGCCCAGGATATTCACTGAATCACTATAATCACTACAATCTAATTTTAATATGTCATTTTTAAATTAAACATTTCATCATCCTTATAACTGCAACAATATTTAAATTTTTTAATTCATGATTTTTGCACTTTAGTAATTCTTATAGAGAACAAAAAACACATTGTGGTCTTTGCCTTCTCCTTTATAATAACAGCGAAAGATTTGTTTGTTTTGAAAGAACACTCATATTTATTAATAATAATCTTTGTGTTCTTAATAGGTATTAACTTGGCAGCCTTTATCATCATAGTTTTTTCCTATGGAAGCATGTTTTACAGCATTCACCAAAGTGCCGTAACAACAAATGAAGTACAGAATCAAGTTAGAAAGGAAATGACCCTTGCCAAACGGTTTTTCTTTATTGTGTTTACTGATGCATTATGCTGGATACCCATCTTTATACTGAAATTTCTCTCATTGCTTCAGGTGGAAATACCAGGTACAAATTTTTTCTTCCTATAATGAAATAATAAATCTGTTTCTACAGAATTCCTCTAGAAGGGTATTAAGATCCCTAACAGTAACTCATTTCAAGAATCATAAGTTAGAGTTATATGTAGTTAAAGCTCTGTTCATTGATCAAATGTTTACTAGGAGAAACGTGCCTGGTTCTTTTTTTCCTAAGCCATTCCCTTTTATTTTTAGATTAATGTTATTTACTTGTAAATTAAGTTTTTTCTTAAATGAAGTGAGAACTGGGTTCAAATCCTGGGTCAGAAAGATCCTCTGGAGAAGGGCATGGCCACCCACTCCAGTATTCTTGCCTGGAGAATTCCATGGACAGAGGAGCCTGGAGAGCTTCAGTCCATGGGGCCACAAAGAATTGGACATGACTGAGTGACTAACACTTTCTTAAATGAAATAGTTTTCTTTTTAAAATTTTTATTGCGTTGAAGTGTAGTTGACTTACAATATTACATTAGTTTCAGATATATGACAGCAATTCTGTTTTTTTACAGATTACACAACATGCAAAATAAATATAAAATATTGACTGTATTACCTGTACTATTCAATACATCTCTGTGACTTATTTATTTTATAACTGGTAGTTCATCTCTTTTAATATTGTTCACCTATTTTTTCCTACCCCCAGCCCTCTCCTCTGTGGTTACCACATGAGCTTATTCTCTGTATCCATGAGCCTGTTTTTGTTTTGTTATATTTACTTGATTTTTTATTTTTTAGATTCAACATATAAGTGAAAACATACAGTATTTGTTTTTCTCTGACTTATTTCACTATGCATAATACCATCCAGGGCCATCCATGTTATTACAAATGGCAAGATTTAATTATTTTTTATTAAGATTGAGTAATATTCCATTGCTTATATACCACATCTTTTTTATTCATTCATCTATCAGTGGCCTTTTAAGTTGCTTCCATATCATGGCTATTGAGAATAGTACTGGAATGAACATTGGGATAGGTAAATCTTCTTGGATTAGTGTTTTCATTTTCTTTGGATATATACCAAGGTGTGGAATTTCTGGATTGTACAGTAGTTCTATTTTTAATTTTTTGAGGAACTTCCATACTATTTTACATTGTGGCTACACCAATTTATAGGTCTGAGCTTCCCTGAGCGACCTCACTTGCTGTTCACTACACCAATTTATATTCCTTTCAACAGTGTACAAGGGTTTGCTTTTCTCCACATCCTCACCAACATTTGTTATTTCTTGTTTTTTTGGTGATAGCCACTATGACAGGTGTGAGGTGATATCTCACAGTGGTTTTGATTTGCATTTGTCTGATGATTAGTGTTGCTGATCATCTTTTTATGTGCCTGTTTCTGCTACTGCTAAGTCGCTTCAGTCGTGTCCAACTCTGTGCGACCCCATAGACGGCAACCCACCAGGCTCCCCCGTCCCAGGGATTCTCCAGACAAGAACACTGGAGTGGGTTGCCAATTCCTTCTCCGATGCAGGAAATTGAAAAGTGAAAGTGAAGTCACTCAGTCATGTCCAGCTCTTAGCGACTCCATGGACTGCAGCCTACCAGGCTCCTCCATCCATGGAGGAGCAAGAGTACTCCAGGCAAGAGTACTAGAGTGGGGTACCATTGCCTTCTCCCATGTGGCTGTTGACCATCCATAAGTCTTCTTTGGAAAAATGACTATTCAGGTCTTCTTCTATTTTTTAAGCAGATTTTTTTTTATATTGAGTTGTATTTGTTCTTTATGTATCTTGGATATTACCCCTTGTCAGTCACGTCTCTTGCAAGTATCTTCTCCCATTCAGTAGTTGTCTTTAATTTTGTCAATAGCTTCTTTTACTGTGCAGAAATTTTTTAGTTTAATAAGGTCTCATTTGTTTATTTTTTGTTTCCCTTGGCTGAGAAAAAGAAACCAAAAAATATTGCTAACAGTAATGTCAAAGAGTCTACTGCATATGTTTCCTTCCAGTTTTACGGCTTTAGGTCTGACATTTAAGGTTTTAATCCATTTTGAATTTATTTTTCTATAAGGTATAATGTGATGTTCTACTTTTATTCTTTTCAGTGTAGCTGTGCACCTTTTCCAACAATCGCTTATTGTAGAGACTGCCTTTTTCACATTGTATATTCCTGCCTCCTTTGTCATACAATAACTAACCATAAATGTGTGGGTTTATTTTGGGTCTCTCTATTCTGTTCCATTGACTGTGCCTTTGTTTTGTGCTAGTGCCATAGTGTTTTTTTTTAAATTATGTATTTATTTTTGGCTTTTCTGGGTCCTCATGGTGCATGGGCTTTTCATGCACAGGCTCTTCATTGCTGTGCATGGGCTTTCTCTAGTTGCAATGAACAGGGGATACCCTCTAGTTGCTGTGTATAGGCTTCTTCTCATTGAGGTGGCTTCTGTGTTGTGGAGCATAGACTCTAGGGCATATAGGTTTAGTAATGGTGGTGCATGGGTTTAGCTGCTCCATGGCATGTGGGATCTTAGTTCCTGGACTAGGGATTGAAACGACGTCCCCTGCCTTGGCAGGTATATTCTTTTATTTTTTTATTTATTTGTCTGTGCCAAGTCCTAGTGCAGCATGCAAACTCTTGGTTGCAGCATGTGGGATCTAATTCTCGGGCCCACTGCATTGAGAGCTCAGAATCTTAACCCATGGACCACCAGGGAAGTCCAGCAGGTAGATTCTTAATCTCTTTAGTACCAGGAAAGTTCTCATGCTGTTTTGATTATGGCAGCTTTGTAGTATGGTTGGAAGTCATGAAGTATGATACTTCCACTTCTGTTCCTCTTTCTCAAGGTTGCTTTAGCTATTTGGGATCTTTTCTGGTTCCATACGAATTTTAGTATTCTTTGTTCTAATTCTGTGAAAAATGTCATGGGTATTTGGATAGGAATTGCATTGAATCTATAGATTGCACTGAGTAGTATGGACATTTTGGCAATATTAATTCTTCCAATCCATGAAGATGGTATATCTTTCCTTGTATTTGTATTATCTTCAATTTTTTTCATCAGTGTCTTCCAATGTTTAGAATACAGGTCTTTCACTTCATTGTTAGATTATTCCTAGATATTTTATTCTTTTTGATTTGAGTGTAAGTGGAATGGTTTTCTTGACTTCATGTTCTGATTGTTCATAATTGGTATATAAAAATATACACCTGGTCCTGGACTTTTGTTGGGAGTTTTTTAATCACAGATTCAATTTCAGTACTTGTAATTGGTCTGTTCATATTTTCTATTCCTTCCTAGTTCAGTCTTGAGAGATTGTAGCTTTCTAAGTACTTGTCCATTTCTTCTAGGTTGTCTGCTTTATTGGCATATTGTTTTTCATAGTAGTTTTATGATCTTTGTATTTCTATGATGTCAGTTGTAACTTCTTTTTCATTTCTGCTTTATTGATTTTCTACTAGGGAAGCCATGGGTTCAATCCCTTGGTCAGGAAGATCCTCTGGAGAAGGAAATGGCAACCCACTTCAATATTCTTGCCTGGTAAATCCCATGGACAGAGAAGCCTGGCAGGCTACAGTTCATGGGGTCACAAAGAGTCAGATACAACTTAGCAACTAAACAACAACAACAAAGCTTATGTTGATATAGCCTGTCTTCTTAGAGCTGTTTTTGATGCATCCCAGAGATTTTAGATCATCTTGTTTAAATATACATTTGTCTCTAGGTATTTTTTTCTACTTCCTCTTTGATTTCTTCAGTGATCTGTTGGTTGTTTAGTAGCATATTGTTTAGCCTCCATGTGTCTTTTGCAGGTTTTTTCTTATAGTTGATTTCTAGTCTCATAGCATCATAGTCAGAAAAGATATTTGATATGATTTCAGTGTTCTTAAATTTACTGAGGCTCATTTTGTGGCCTAGCACATGATCTGCAGAATGTTCCATGTACACTTAAAAAAAAAGTATATTCTGCTTTCAGATGAAATTATATATATATATATTATATATATATATACTTTATATATATAATATATAAAGTCAATTAACTTCATTTGGTCTAATGTGTCACTTGGACCAGTATTTCCATATTGATTTTCTGTCTGGAATATCTGCTCATTGATGTGAGATTTTAAAATCCCCTACTATTATTGTGTTGATTTCTGCCTTTATGTTAATATTTGCCTTATATATTTAGATGATTCTATATTGGATGCATATGTATATATAATTGTTCTATGTTCTTCTTGATTTGATCCCTTCATTATTAGGTAGTAAAAGTCTTTGTCTCTTGTAACAGTCTTCATTTAAAGTCATTTTGTCTAATATAAATATTGCTACTCTGGCTTTCTTTTGATTTCCATTTGCATGGAATACCTTTTTCCATATTTCTTCCTGATTTGTTCTTAAAAGATTTTATGTTTCTAGGAATTTATCCATTTCTTGTAGATGGCCCAGTTTGTTGGCATATAACTGCTAGTAGTCTTTTCTGATGATTGTTTGTACTTATATGATATCAACTGTAACTACTTTGTCATTTCTAATTTTATTCATTTTGATTCCTCTCTTTTTTCTTGATGAGTCCAGCTAAAGATCTATCAACTTTTTTTCAAAAACAAACTCTTAATTTCACTGTTCTTTTCTATTATTTTTAGTCTCTATTTCATTTCTTTATTCTCTGGTCTTTATTACTTCCTTCTTTCCACTAACTTAGACCTATGTTTGTTCTTTTTCTAGTTCCTTTAATTAGAAAGTTAGGTTGTCTATTTGGATTTTTTTATTTCTTGAGGTAGTGATGAATCACTATATAAACTTTCCTCTTAGAACTGCATTTGCTGTAGCCCCTAGATTCTGGAGGGTTGTATTTCTATTTTCATTCATCTTAAGATACTTTTATATCCTCTTTGATTTCTTTGTTGACCCAACAGGTTTTTAGTAGCTTGTTGTTTAGTCTACACATTTGTGTTTTTCCAGTTTTTTCCTGTAATTGGTTTCTAGTTTCATACTATTGTGGTTGGAAAAGATGCTTGATATGATTTCAGTCTTATTAAATTTATTAAGATTTGTTTTGTGGCCTAGCATGTGATTTGTCCTAGAAAAGGTTATTTGCACATTTGAGAAGATTATTTATCTGCTGTTTTTAATGGAATATTCTGTAGATATTATTAAGTCCATCTGATATAATGTGTTGCTTAAAGCCACTGTTTCCTTACTGATTTTCTGTCTAGATGATATAGCCATTGATGTGAGTGGGGTATTAAAGTCCCTTACTATCTTGTGATACTGTCAATTTCTCCCTTTTTGTCTGATAATATTTGCTTTATATATTTAGGTGCTTCTGTGTTAGGTATATATGTGTTTACAAATGTTATATCCTCTTCTTGGGTTTACCACTTTTCATTATACAAGTGCCCTTCTTTGTTTTTGGTCTCAGACTTCTCTTTAAAGTCTATTTTGTCTGATATGTATATTGTTAACCCAGCTTTCTTTTCATCTGCATGGAATATCTTTTTGCATCTCTTCATTTTCCTTATGTGTGACTCTTTGTTCTGAATAGACTCTCTTGTAGATAGCATACAGATGGTGCTTGTTTTTTAATCCATTCAGTCACCCTATATCTTTTTTCTGAAGCCTTTAGCCCATTTATATTTAAAGTGATTATTGGTAGTTATGTACTTATTGCCATTTTGCTACTTGTTTTCTGGTTGTTTTTATAGTTTTCCTTTTTGTCTTTTCACATCTATCCTTGATTTTCTTTAGTGTTAGGTTTGGATTCCTTTCCCTTTTTTTGTGTGTGTGTGTATCTATTATTGGTTTATGGTTTGTAGTTTCACATATATACGTGTGTGTGTGTATACGTATATATATATACTTTTTATTCTACATTTTATTATTTCCCTGTGAAGTTTCAATTTGATATCTATTTTATAGCATTAACTGTTTAAGTTATACTTGATCTTTATTTTACAACTTTTATCTTTTAATCTTCATACTAGTTCTTTTAAATAGTTGATCCACTGCCTTTTCTATATATTTACATTTATCCATAAGATTTTTTTCCTCATATATATTATTTTTTATTGCGGCCTTCTTTTTTCACTTGGAGAAATCCCTTTAACTGTTCTTGTAAGGCTGGCTTAGTAGTGATGAACTTTTAAATTTTTTTCTTTTGGGGAAACTCTTTAGTGCTCTTTCAATTCTGAATGATAGCATTGCCAGGTACAGTATCCTTGGTTATAGGTATTTTTCCTTCAGCACTTTTAATACATCATGCCACTCCCTTCTGGTCTGCAAATTTCTGCTGAAAAATCAACTTGTAGGCAAGTCTTTGTCTTTCTCTTGCTACCTGTATCTTTAACTCCTGCCATTTTAATTATAGTATGCCTTAGTGTGGATCTCTTTGAATTCATTTTGTTTGGGACTTTATGTGCTTCCTGGATCTGGATATCTGATTCCTTCTTCATGTGAGGGAAGGTTTCAGCCATTATTTAATCAAATACATTTTCCCCTTTTCTCTCTCTTTTCACCTTCTGCAACACTTATAATGCAAATATTCATATACTTGTTGTCTCAGAAGTCCTTTAAACTATCCTCATTTTTTAAAATTATTTATTCTTCTTGCTACTCTAATTGGGTGATTTACCCTATTCTATCTTCCAAGTTCTTCTGTATCACCTAATGTGCCATTGATATTCTCTAGTGTATTAATGGCTCAAATAAATTACACTTGGTGTGTTGAAATTCTAATAATTCCATGCTCGAGATAACCAGAAAGGAACACAGATCAAGATGATTATCAAGTAATTGCTTCATTTTTTCTAGAACATAAGAACTTTTTATTCCTGGAATACATAGCAATTTAAGGAACATTATCCCAGAGTGTGAGAGATGATAAAGCACTCTTGATATTTCAAAATAAGGTGCACCATACTCATTAGGACAGTTGTTCTCAAAAACAGAAAATAGTAAGTACTGGTGAGGATGTGGAGAAATTAGAACTCTTGTAGTGGTAGAATGTAAAATGGCACAGCTGCTATAGAAAACACTATGGTGGTTCCTCAAAAAATTAAACATAGAATTCCTATGGGACCCAGAAATTTTACTTCTGAATATATATACCCAAAAGAACTGATTATGGGAACCATAAATTCATACACCCAAGTTCAAGGCAGCATTATTCACAGAAGCCAAAATGTGGAAATGAAACAACCCAAGTGTCCATCACTGGATGAATGCTTAAACCAAATACACTATATACACACAGTGGATTATTATTCAGCCTTTAAAGGGAGGAAATTCTGATACATGCTACAATATGGATACGTCATGAAGACATTATGCTACTGAAACAAGCCAGTCACAAAAAGACAAATACTGTATGATTCCACTTATATGAGATAACTAGTGTAATCAAATTCACAGACAGAAATTTTGTGAATGGTGTTGTCAGGGATTAAGGGGAAGAAGGTATGGGGGATTATTGTTTAAAGGCACAAAGCTTCAGTGTGGAAAGATGAAAAAGCTTTGGAAATGGATGGTGGTGATGGTTCCACAACAATCTGAACGTAGTTAATGCCACTGAACTATACACTTAGAAATGGTTAAAATGGAAATTTTTATATTATGTATAATTACCACAATAAAAATGTATAAAATCCTGTTAACTGTTTGCATATTGCAATGTGCACTCACACTTTAAAAATTTATAAACATACAATTTTACTTTTGCTTTTTCCCATGGTTAGTGGCGATAGTGCCTTACATTTTACAAGTAAAAGAGGGAACATAGCATAAATTAAATCATAAAGAAAATCTGAGTATTTGGTAGTTGCATATATACTAATTTTAAGATATACTAATTTAAGATATACTAATTTTAAGAAAAGTTTAGCCAAAGATGTTTTTACTGAAATAAATATCTAGTCAAAAGCCTAAAAATGCATACCAGTTTTTCAAACCAGATAAATAGCAGAAATATATTGAGGATAAGCCTATATATTCTAAGAAATACTACACACACTACCTAGTAATTAAAACACTTGCAAAGATATGATTTAAATACTAAACAGTATTGTTTTTCCTAAAATTGAATCATATCAGAGTAATATGTAATCACCCGGTTAAAAAAAAAAAAGAAAACATTTCTAGCTACTAGAATTCTTTTGTATTTGTTTGTATTAAGGAAGTTACTTAGCCCGAAACCTGTTTCTTGAAATGTCAGTTCAGTTCAGTCACTCAGTTGTGTCCGACTCTTTGCGACCCCATGGACTACAACACACCAGGCTTTCTTGTCCACCACCAACTCCTGGAGCTGACTCAAACTCATGTCCATTGGGTCGGTGATGCCATCCAACCATCTCATCCTCTGTCGTCCCCTTCTCCTGCCTTCAATCTTTCCCAGTGTTAAGGTCTTTTCCAGTGAGTCAGTTCTTCGTATCAGGTGGCCAAATTATTGGAGTTTCAGCTTCAGCATCAGTCCTTTCAATGAATATTCAGGACTAATTTCCTTTAGGATGGACTGGTTGGATCTCCTTGCAGCCCAAGGGACACTCAAGAGTCTTGTTCAACACCACAGTTCAAAAGCATCAATTCTTCAGCGCTCAGCTTTCTCTACAGTCCAATCTCACATCCACACATGACTACTGGAAAAACCATGACCTTGACTAGACAGATCTTTGTTGACAAAGTAATGTCTCTGTTTTTTAATATGCTGTGTAGGTTGGTCATAACCTTCCTTCCAAGGAGTAAGTAAGTGTCTTTTAATTTCATGGCTGCAATCACCACCTGCAGTGATTTTGGAGCCCCCCAAAATAAAGTCAGCCACTGTTTCCCCATCTATTTGCCATGAAGTGACGGGACAGGATGCCATGCTGTTAGTTTTCTGAATGTTGGGTTTTAAGCCAACTTTTTCACTCTCCTCTTTCACCTTCATCAAGAGGCTCTTTAGTTCTTCTTCGCCTTCTGCCATAAGGGTGGTGTCATCTGCATATCTGATGTTATTGACATTTCTCCTGGCAATCTTGATTTCAGCTTGTGCTTCATCCAGCCCAGTATTTCACATGATGTACTCTGCATATAAGTTAAATAAGTACGGTGACAATATACAGGGTGAAATGTCAGCACCCCCTCAAATACTAGCACCCTGGAAAAACATCCTGGAACTACATGTAGACTTGGTATTTAATTATGTGACATGGGCGGGGGGGTGGAATTAAGACTAAAAAGACAGCTGGGGGAGAACTAAGAAAAAGATGTTTACATACCTTGTAAATATCCACAAAAACTCAACAAATTTCATTTTTCTCTTCCAGGTACCATAACCTCTTGGGTAGTGATTTTTATTCTGCCTATCAACAGTGCTTTGAACCCAATTCTCTATACTCTTACCACAAGACCATTCAAAGAAATGATCCACCAGTTCTGGTATAACTACAGACACAGAAGATCTATAGACAGCAAAGGAAGTCAGAAGACATATGATCCATCATTCATCTGGGTAGAAATGTGGCCCATGCAGGAGATGCCTTCTGAGTTAATGGAGCCAGTTCTTTTCGCAGACTCCTCTAAATTATCACTTATTTCTCAATCAACTAGAGTCAACTCCTATTCATAACTGACAGATACCAATTTCTACACAGAGAATACTGTGAGATGTTTCATGATGGATTTATGAGTTTAAACTAAATGCCACAAAATAATTTATAATAATGGCTAAAATCAATTCGCTTAGGATATGAGGTTATTTGGGAGAAATCAAAATGACTGATGCCTGTGTAAAGGGAAATAAATTATATTGATAATATGTATGTATTAGTACATATTTTGATAGGAAATTAAGAGAAATATATTTCAGAAAGGCTCATTTGTTCTATTAGCATGCATTTACTGAGTACCCACTATGTGCATGGCACTGTGATAAATTCCTGGGAGCAAATAGTAAAAAATCTTGTCAATTTGCAATGTTAAATTGTATAACTACAAGAATATATTAATACAAAGTCCACCTGCAACTCTTAGTCTAAGGTACAGCTTTGCCTGTCTTGAAAACATAAGGATCATGGACACTTTTAAATAAAAGTTTAATGTTTTGTAATAATCAATATACTAACATCAGAGAAAATGTCTCATTACTGGAAAATGCAAATATTTTATTTTAAGAACTCATTTTACCTCTCTTCAAGTCTTCATACACTTAAGAGGCAATACACATTTATTCCTATGGAAAAAAAGGTGCTCTGATAATAGCTCAAAACAGCACCTTTCTATCAATTTCCAGCCCAGTTGTCTTTTTGCTTTATATGATCACCATTATATGAGATTGTAAAAAGGTGATAAAAGTATTGCAAAGGAATGAATCAGAAAAGCTAGAATGAAATCAGTGGAATAGAACTGAGAGTACAGAAATAAAACCCTCATATTTATAGTCAATTGATATTCAACAAATATACTAAGATAATCAAATGGGGAAAGAACAGTCTTATCAATAAATGATGCCAGTACAACTGGATATTACCATGCAAAAGAATGAAGTTGGACCCCTGCTTTATACTATATATAAAAATTTACTCAAAACAGATCAATGATATAAACATAAATCACTCAGAAGAAAATATATGGGAAATCTTCAAAACCTTGGCTTTGACAGTGGATTTTTAGATATAACATAAAAAGTATGAGTAAGAAAAAGAAAAAATGGATAAACTGGACTTCAACTAAATCAAACACTTTTGTGCATCAAAGAACATAAACAAACACAATAAAAAGACAACCTTCCAGAATGAAAGGACATTTTTACAAATCCTATATCTGAGAAATATATAAAGAAATATATAAAGAACTCTTACAACTCAACAAAAGACAAGCAACTCAATTTTTCAAATGGTCAAAGGACTTGAATAGATATTTCTTCAAAGATGATATACAAATGGCCAATAAGCATGTCCAGTATCACTAATCATTAGGAAAATACAAATCAAAACCATAAAAAGATAAAACTACGCCTACTAGGGGATTACAATTTTTTTTTTTTAATGGAAAATAACAAGCATTGGCAAGGATATGGCAACTGAACCCTTTCTACATTGCTGGTTTTATTTGTGCATGCATGCTTAGTCATGTCTGACTCTGTGACCCCATGGACTATAGCCCGCCAGGCTCCTCTGTCCATGGCATTCTCCAGGCAACACTACTGGAGTGGGTTACCATGCCCTCCTCCAGAGAATCTTCCTGACCCAGGGGTCGAACCTGCATTTCCTGAGTCTCCTGAATTGCAGGCAGATTTTGTACCCCTTGAGCCACCTGGGAAGCCCCTGCATTGCTGGTGGGAATGTAAAATGATGAAGTCACTGTAGAAAACCATTTGGGTGTTCCTCAAAAGTTTATCAGAGAATTCCCATATGATTCAGCAATTTCACTCTTGAGTATAAACCCAAAAGAAAACAGGACTCAGATACTTGTTTGCAAATTCTCATCATAGCATTATTCATAGTTGTGAAAAGATAGGAGCAACCCAAGTGCCCATCAACTGATGAACAGATAACAAAATGTGGTGTACACACACAATGGAATATTATTCAGCCACTAAGAGGAATGAATTCTGACACATGCTAGAACATAATGTGAAATAAGCCCGACACAAAAAGTTGAAATAACTATATGATTCCACTTACATGAAATACCTAGAATAAGCAAATTCAGACAGAAAGTAGATCAGAGGTTACCAGGGTAGAGGGGTTGGAGAGATGATATCTGAGAAGTACAGGGTAACTTCTTGGGCAAAAACAAGTTCTAAAGGCTTCCCTGGTGGTCCAGTGGTTAAGAATCCACCTCCAATGCAGGGGACATGGATTTGATCCCTGCTCTGGGAAGACCCCACATGTTGTGTGGCAACTAGGCCTGTATGTCATCATTACTGAAGCCATATCTGAGTCCTTTCTGTCCGTACATGCTGCTGCTGCTAAGTTGCTTTAGTCGTGTCTGACTCTGTGCGACCACATGGACAGCAGCCCACCAGGCTCCTCCATCCACGGAATTCTCTAGGCAAGAATACTGGAGTGGGTTGCCATTGCCTTCTCCATTCTTACATGAAATAACACAAATACATTTTTTACATGAAGAATGTCGTACTTTCAACAAAAATATATTTATTTACATATGCAAAGAGATTATAAGGAATTGGCTCATGAGATTATGGAGGCTGGCAAGTCCAAAAACCTGCAAAGCCAATATCCCAGTTCAAGTCCAAAGGCCAGAAGATACTATAGAACCAGGAAAAGCCAATGGCCTGGCTCAAAGGTCATCAGGAAGGAAGGTCCATGGTTCTACTGATTGCATGAGGCCCACCCACATTATGGAGGGCAATCTGTTTTATTCAGTCTACTAACTGAATTGTTAATCTCACCCAAAAACACCCTCACACAAATACCCTGAATGTTTGACAAAACTTATGGGTACGCTGTGATCCAGTCAAGTTGACACATAAACTATCACATATGGGGAAACTAAGTAAAATCACAGCCTTGAATATTAATAAGATTAACCAAGAGATAGGTAGCAAGGCATAGTATAAACAAGCATATTAGTTTTTTGTTGGAGACCCTCAGGCAAATTATTTCACCTCAGCCTGTTTTCTATTCTGTGCTGCTTAGTAGCTTCAGTCGTGTCCAACTCTGTGCGACCCCATAGATGGCAGCCCACCAGGCTCCCCCGTCCCTAGGATTCTCCAGGCAAGAACACTGGAGTGGGTTGCCATTTCCTTCTCCAATGCATAAAAGTGAAAAGTGAAAGTGAAGTTGCTCAGTCGTGTCCAAATCTCAGCAACCCCATGGACTGCAGTCCACCAGGCTCCATCCATGGGATTTTCCAGGCAAAAGTACTGGAGTGGGATGCCATTGCCTTCTAGTCTATAGATAGGAATAATATCACTTTCCTCAGAGAGCTAATATGGTTACATGAAATAATGTTTATAAACCTAACATTGTTTGGCATATATTTCATGCTCAGAATTTTTGAAACTAAACACAGTATTTTAACACTAAAAATTCCATTTTACTGACGTCATCCTCTTGAGGCTCTTAAAAGTTTACACCAGTCAGAACATTAAGTTGTCCTCTGAGGTTTATGTAGATTTAGCAATGAACTACTAAGTTTAAAAATTTTTTGTCTTTAAGAAAATGTTTATGTTTTGACCTCCTTCCCCATCTCTCCCATGAAGCAGAGCAAAAAGAAATATAAAAAGGGATGAATTTTTTTTAAGTCACTCTTGAAAAGAAGATGGACTTCTCCGTGGACCACACATGGCAATAGAACCTGCAAGCAAAGCTGAGCTGTGGGCCTGTGGATTCCAAACTATAGCAGCTATGAGTTTTGCAAGAGGAATTAAGTGTTCTCAGAAGGCTCACTGCCTGAAATTGGGGGTTAACCCAAGCAAATGGCAATTAAATAAAATTAGAAATCAATTAACATGATTTTTCTACCTTAGAAAAACATATGTTGGGGGGTGGGGCAGGCAGGGAGAGGAACTCACACACACACAGACCAAAGTAGTACAGATCACATTTACGATACAGCTAAACTAGGGGAAGTTACAGAGAATCTTAGCATGAGATGAAGCAAACAGATCAAAAGAATGAATGCAGAGCTCAGACCAAGTCATTTATATGGTAACTGAATGACATATAGCATCTGAAACATGGTATTTGGAGGAACAGCTATACACATACAAAAATAAATAAAACAAAACCCAAGAGTTAAACAACAAACAAAAAGAAATTCAGGTGGATTAAACATCCGAACACTAAAAACACTAAAAAACTTTTTTTTAACTTTTGGAAAGATGTACAGGAGAATATCTTTATGACATCTGCTAGACAAGACTCAGAAAACACTATTATGACAGACTGGTGAGATTACATTAAAATTAAAAATGTTTATTTAAGAAGACTCTATAATCAAAGATACACCACAGACTTCAAGACAGTTGAAACATACATAACAGAGCATTATGTAGTATCGAGAATATGTAATAGCTATAAATCCATAAGGAAAAGACAAAACCTAACAGAAAAATGGTCAAAAGGTATCGCCTGCAAAATCACACCACATTTCCTCAATGTCCTGTACTTACATGAGGCAACACTATTCAGTGTGGGGGACTAACTATAAGAAATGAATATCAGAAGACGACCACTGGGGCCCTCTGGAGGCTGCTTACTACACACACAAAATGGTATTTTTTTATGTGACATACAGTCAATAATATTAGTTTCAAGATAGTACTTTGTAGTGTTTTGATAACACATATGTGTATCAAAAACATAAAAACACAAACTAGAATATGCAGTCCCTCTAGGACAGAGGTTATCTCTGGGGAGAAAGAGATGGAATCAAAAGGTAATAAGTTTCAAATGCATCTAACACTTACATATTAATATGTTCACAGATCTAAAGAAAACATAACCAAATGCTAAAATTTATTAAATCTGCATGGTGGAAACATATGGGTGTTCTTTAAGTGATTCACCTTCCCTCTTAGGTTTGAAATATTTCAATAAAGTTTTATTTATTTTTTTTTTTTTTTAGTTTTCCGCCTGAGATTTATTTTTTTTTATTGATTTTTTTTTCCATTTATTTTTATTTGTTGGAGGCTAATTACTTTAAAATATTGTAGTGATTTTTGCCATACATTGACATGAATCAGCCATGGATTTACATGTGTTCCTCATACCGTCAATAAAGTTTTAAAATAATGAAACTGAAGAAATGAAAAGAACATTTGCTTTGAACAAGCTTATTTTTATAGAT